TTCCTCTTTTTCCCCCCATAACTCCCCTCCACCCAGTTCCCACCCCACCCTCCGCCCTCACTCTCCACCCACTGTCCTCATCCATAGGTGTACGATTTTTGTCCAGTGTCTTCCCGCATCCCCCACACCCCTTTCCCACCCAAGAATAGTCAGTCCATTCCCTTTCTATGCCCCTGATTCTATTATAATCACCAGTTCATTCTGTTCATCAGATTATTTTGCACTTGATTTTTAGATTCACTTATTGATACATGTGTATTTGTTGTTCATAATTTGTATCTTTACCTTCTTCTTCTTCTTCCTCTTCTTAAAGGATACCTTTCAGCATTTCATATAATACTGGTTTGGTGGTGGTGAACTCCTTTAGCTTTTTCTTATCTGTGAAGATCTTTATCTGACCTTCAATTCTGAATGACAGCTTTGCTGGATAAAGTAATCTTGGTTGTAGGTTCTTGGCATTCATCACTTTGAATATTTCTTGCCACTGCCTTCTGGCCTGCATGGTTTCTGTTGAGAAATCAGCTGACAGTCGTATGGGTATTTCCTTGTAGGTAACTGACTTTCTTTCTGGTGCTGCTTTTAAGATTCTCTCTTTGTCTTTTGCTCTTGGCATTTTAATGATGATGTGTCTTGGTGTGGTCCTCTTTGGATTCCTTTTGTTTGGGGTTCTCTGCGCTTCCTGGACTTGTAAGACTATTTCTTTCACCAGGTAGGGGAAGTTTTCTGTCATTATTTCTTCAAATAGGTTTTCAATATCTTGCCCTCTCTCTTCTTCAGCACCCCTATAATTTGGATGTTGGTACGCTTGAACCTGTCCCAGAGGCTCCTTACACTATCTTCATATTTTTGGATTCTTTTTTTATTTTGCTTTTGCGGTTCAGTGTTTTTTGCTTCTTTGTATTTCAAATTGTTGACTTGATTCTTGTGATCCTCTGGTCTGCTGTTAGAAGTCTGTATAATATTCTTTATTTCAGTCAGTGTATGCTTAATTTCTAGTTGGTCCTTTATCACAACATCGAGGGTCTCACTAGATTTCTGGAGGGTCTCATTGAGTTTATAGGCAGTTTCTAGAAAATTCTTGAAAAGCCTTAAAAGTGTGGTTTTGAACTCTATATCCTGTAGTTTGCTTTCTTACATTTCTGTCATTTGTGACCTGTTTCTTTGTCTCCACATTTTTTATGTTTCCCTGTGTTGGTAGAGTGGCTTTCTGTGTTAGGTGTCCTATAGGGCCCAGTGGCTCAGCCTCCCCAATTACCTGAGGGGGACACTCTTGGTGCACCCCCTTGTGGGCTTTGTGCACAGTTTTGTTGTAGTTAAGCCTGGTTTGTTGTAGGTATCACTGGAAGATATTGACTGAGTCTCCCCCCTGAGTGTGTCCCTTATGGATCTCGAAGGAGGTGCTAATTTATCCTCAGCCTGAGGCTACCCAGCAGGAGAAATGGAGAGATCTGCAAATTCCTCTTCTTTGTTTGGGGTTTGGAGGTACCTAGATGAGGCCCAGCTGTGAAGCAATGCAAGCTGCTGTGGGGTCATGGTCCTACTTTTGGAAGTTCCGGGTCTCTCTGACCCAGGTGCAGATTGTTAATTAATTTTCAGATTGCAAAGGGCCAGGCCTTTCATATGCAAAAGCCTCTGCGCACAGCTTGGGTGGGGCGGTGTCTCAGGGAATCAACAGGGCAGAGCAAACAGCTATGGTCGATCCTCAGTCCTAAACTAAGAGGCCCCGCTTCTCAGTGTTCGGGTAATCACTGCAAGCACCTCTGAGAGGAAGCCATCCTTGAGTTCTGACAGATGCCAGACAGTCCAGTTTCTCCCCATATGAGTCTGGGTCCCCAGAGACTCACCTGAAACTGGAGTTCAGAGCATTCTGGAGCTTGAGACTCCCTCCTGATTGAAAAAGACAACCATGTCCTCAGTTGCCAGCCCTTTTCATGTGCGCCTCCGAACCTCCGCACTTCTGCACCTCCTCTGTGTGGGGAACCGATATAGGGTTAAGCCTCGGACTGACCTGTTGGCAAAGTCACAAACAAGTCCCATCTTGGAGGGCACAGTCCTCTTAGGATAATTAGGCTTAAACTTATAACACTCCCTAGATCTTATCTTGGAAACTAAAGGGCTGAGGGAAGTGCAGGAAGTGTAACAATGGTGAAAACAAATGAAACTCACAATAACAGTGTAACTATGGTAACCACTACCTTGTTTATCTCTGACTATAAAATGGTTGGTGCGACCTGAGCACAGGTGGAAGTCCTTCCTCTTGGGTTGGACTTACCAGCCTAGCCCCCCAATATTTCCAAATTATCTCTTGTCTTCTCTCATTTGTGTGTGGCTCCTCTTTCAGATCCTGAACCCTGAACCATGCGGGATGTAGAGGGAAACATTTATAACATATGGTGCCCAAACAGGGACTTGTTTGTGACTTTGCCAACAGGTCAGTCTGAGGCTTAACACTATATCGGTTCCCCACACCTGAGTCTCAGTGTGCTTGTCTCTTTCCTTCTGGTTGTAGAATTTCCACTTAGCCAGACTTCCTGTGGTTCTGGATGATGTCCATTTTGTCTTTTAGTTGCATTTTTGAAGTGGCTGTGCGATGCAGCAATTTCCGGTGTTTACCTATGCCGCCATCTTGGTTTCTTCCCACTTATTTTCTTATACAATTTTTAAAGCCTAAGAAACTACATGTGGCCCTAACCAGTTTGGCTCCGTGGACAGAGCGTCAGCCTGCGGACTGAAGGGTCCCAGGTTCGATTCCGGTAAAGGGCATGTACCTTGGTTGCGGGCACATACCCAGTAGGGAGTGTGCAGGAGGCAGCTCAATTGATGTTTCTCTCTCATCAATGTTTCTAACTCTCTATCCCTCTCCCTTCCTCTCTGTAAAAAAATCAATAGAGTATATTTAAAAAAAAGAAATTACATGTCCTACACATCTAAGAACTTTTAACATTTGGACTTTTTTGTGCAGTTAAGGTAAAAATCAGACTGAGAGATATCTCACATCAATTGCACTCAGAACTGCTTTCTCCAGTGTGAGCTCTCTGATGATATTGAAGATGGCTTCTAGTTGTAAAAGTTTCTCCACATTCACTGCATTTATAAGGTTGTTCTCCAGTGTGAACCCTCTCATGATGACGAAGGGCATTACTCCAGGTAAAAGATTTCTCACATTTACTGCATTTATAAGGCTTTACTCCAGTGTGAACTATCTGATGATTATGAAGCGTACTACTCCAGGTAAAAGATTTGCCACATTCACTGCATTTAAAAGGCTTTTCTCCTGTGTGAACTCTCTGATGACGACAGAGGATATCTTTCAAGGTAAAAGCTTTCCCACATTCTCTGCATTGATAAGGCTTCTCTCCTGTGTGAACTCTCTGATGATACTGGAGAAGAGTGCTCCTTGTAAAAGACTTACCACATTCACTGCATTTAAAAGGCTTTTCTCCTGTGTGAAACATCCTATGACAATGAAGTGCAGTGCTACTGGTAAAAGATTTTCCACATTCACTGCATTTATAAGGCTTTTCTCCTGTGTGAACTCTCTGATGATATTGGAGACCAAAGGACCTTGTAAAAGATTTCCCACATTCACTGCACTTATAAGGCTTTTCTCCTGTATGAACTCTCTGATGCTTACGTAGGTAGGTGTTAGTTGTATAAGTTTTCCCACAGTCATTGCATTGATAAGGCTTTTCTCCAGTGTGAATTCTCTGATGACTACGAAGGTTGGTGTTAGTGGTATAACTTTTCCCACATTCACTGCACTTATAAGGCTTTTCTCCTGTATGAACTCTCTGATGCTTACGTAGGTAGGTGTTAGTTGTATAAGTTTTCCCACAGTCATTGCATTGATAAGGCTTTTCTCCAGTGTGAATTCTTTGATGACTACGAAGGCTGGTGTTAGTGGTATAAGTTTTCCCACATTCACTGCATTGATAAGGCTTTTCTCCTCTGTGAATTCTCTGATGATAATGAAGGCGAGAGTTTTTTGTAAAAGATTTCCCACATTCAGAGCACACAAAACATCGACTTACAACATGGACACCCTTTTCCTGAATAAACATGTTGTTGCAACTAATGTCTTTCTTACATTCTTCTCTGGCGTAACAATTTTTTCTCCTTTGAAACGTCATCCCACGGGTTGAAATAGCATTGGGACTGTCACTAGTCTGAGGAGCCTTTAGGTGGAGGACATCCTGCCCATCCTCTCCATAGGTGAAACAATTCTGGGACACACTGAAATTGCAGCTGTTTGAACGTGAGATCCTGTCCACACCTCTAATGAAAGTCTTCTCTCTTACATGCCATTGGTGAAATTTTACACTGAAGTAAAACCATTTTGCACATGCCCCACACCTCAACATTATCTGTCTATGTTGTGTTCCCTGCAGCTCCAGCATGGAGAAAATGTTTCCCAAGATGAGCCCACAACTCTCACAGGGGTGGCTCTTCTGGGAAGACAAGGCTAACTTGGGATTCCTTGCTTGGGACTCTCTAACGGAAACCTTCTGTTCCGTCGGTGCCTCCACATTCTCTGCTCCACAGCAGCAACCTGTATAAAAGGAAATGCTGGTGAGGTACATGTTGACCTTATGAAAACAGAATATCTTCAACACGAATGATTAACTGTTCTGAAAAGACATGATTCCTTAGAAAGATTTTCAAGATGAGTGAGTAAGACACAGAGGAAATTGCTGTTATAAATAACATGGACCAAAAGGTCAGTAGATGAAAATCTCACCAAGAGAGGGACAGAAGCTCAGCATAAGATACAAAGAAAAGAGGAAGACTCTACTCATTCTTCCTGCACAAACGGTTTCCTTTAAGACCTTACATTCTGACCATGTGAGTCTGTGTGGAATAATTTCAAGTTGCTCAAAGACATAAAAATTAATTGTATTAGAGCACAGGATATACAACGTCAATATAATAACATGTGTGCTCTGCAAGGTGCTACAGGCATAGACCAACGTTGGCTTGCAGTAAAGAGAGACCTGTCAAAGAGGCAGAGGTGTAAAGTCCAGAGAGGTTAAAGGTATCCGTGAGCTGGGAACCTGAGTAAAAATGATCACTATTAGAATTTAATAGTTGGCAAAGTATCAACAATAAGCACAAACAAGCATAATTGGGTAAGGAATGGGCAACTGTAACAAAACACTGGCTTTCTAGCTATGACTGTAACAAAGGCCGGCCATGAATTCTTCCCCAATGACCCTTCACCAAGGCAAGACCACCTGTGTGACCACTGTGTCATTCATAAAGTCTCTCATTATTCTTCTGTGATGCAGAAATGTTTCTTCCCATTGAATCCCATTTGAGCCATTGCATGGGATAAATGATGCAAATCTTCAAAAAAAGAGAAAAGTTGGATGGTTAACACTGTGGTCAACGAACGACACATGACATCTCAGACAAAAGACCTATGTGAGTGACATGAAAAAGATGACAGGATCAGACATATGAGCATCTCCCCAACCCAGTGTAAATGTTATCCATGAACGAAGACCCCATAGGAAATGGGGATAAGAGTACCATGAAGAAAAACAGTATTACAGACACAAATAGAGAAGTGTACACAAAGGATGACTTGAAAGACTGTGTAAACAAACATATTTGAAGATACCTACACCCAAAAGAAGGGTCGGAGTTACCTCTAGCAGCCATTGTGCTTCCGCTATCATTGACCATACTGGCCTGTTCTTCAAAAAATACTGGAAATTTTTATGTTTATAAACCACAAAATGCCTTGGCCAATATGGCTCAGTAGGTTGGAGCATCGTCCTGTGTACTAAAGGGTGGAGTATTCAATTCCCAAGTCAAGGCACATATCAGTATATGGGTTCCATTTCCAGTTAGCTTGTATGGAGAAGGGAACTGATTGATGTCTCTCTCTCTCTCTCTCTCTCTCTCTCTCTCTCTCTCTCTCTCCCTCCCTCACCTCCCTCCCCCCCTCTCGTGCCATCTCTCTTCCATTCTTTCTGAACCCAATAATAAATAAATAAAAAAGAATATCAAGGTAGCCAAACACAAAACAGAACTCAAAGAAGTCTAGAGACAAAGTCAATAAAAAGACAACCTATAAAAAATCATGTATAAAATTCATAAAATGCATTTCTACAAAGAAATTTTATAGGGATAAATGCCTATATTATAAAAATAGATCCGAAAACACCTAACCTGCCACCTCAGGAATCTAGGCACAAAACAAGAAAGTAAAACCAAAAGTTGCAAAGGAAGGAAACAATAACTATTTGAACAAGCATTAATAAAAGGGAGATATGACAAAATAAAGAATATCTAACAGGTACTTTTCTAAAACCTAAAAAATTGGTAAACCTTAAGCTAGACTAAAGCAAAAAACAAAAACAAACAAAAACAAGCCTCAAATAAATGAAAGAAGAAATGAAAAATAAGACATTATACCTGACACTATGAACCACAAAGCATCATAAGAGATGCTGATGTTAGCAAATGACATGACCCTCCACAGAGAAATTTGTCAAGATCCCATATGAGCTTCTGCAATTAATAAACAAATTCAGAGCCCTGGCCAGGTAGCTCAGCTATTGAGTATGTGGTCCCGAGGCACCATGGTTGTGGGTTTGATCCCCCATCATGTAGGGGATAGGAAATAAATGCTTAGATGTGTAGAACAGCAGGTCAATGTTTCCCCCTCTTTCTCTGTCTTCCTACCTGTCTCGAAAATCAATACATAAAGGCTGTGCAGTGCAGTTCAGTGATTGCATATCAACCCATTACCTAGGAGGGAAAAATTCTATTTCTTGTTAGGGGATATGCACAGGTTGCCAGCCCAAACTCCAGTGTGCAGGAAGCAGTTGATCAATGAGTCTCTCTCATTATTCATGTTTCAATTGCCCTCCTTGTCTTCCTCTCTGAAATCAATCAAATATCTTTTAAAAATAAATAAATAAAGAAATAAATTTAAAAATAAATAAACAACCCTAGCCCATTTCGCTCAGTGCTGAGAGTGCCCACCTGTACCCTGGAAGGTCATGGGTTCAATTCCTAGTAAGGGGCAGGCACGTGGGTTTCAGGTTCAATCCCCTCTTTGTGGGGACACATTGGGAGGCAACCAATTGATGTTTCTCTCTCTCTCTGTCTCTCTGTCTCTCTCTCTCTCTCTTCCTCTCCTCACTCTTCAGTAAGAACTATGGGCTGTAAAATTCAGTGCGAATTGGGGCTCAGGGATACAGAGGCTACAGGAGACCCAGCTGCTCCTCTTACAGTGTCCACACCACAAACTGAAGTTACAAGCTCCCGCTTCATCTGACCCTCCTGGGCCTGGAGAACCTGTGGGGGAGGAGCGAATGAAGACACATACTAGGAGACACTGGACTGACTGGCATCAGGGTGGGAAATCGGGGGTGGCTTTCTCCCAGACAAAGTGCTCTCAGCGGTCATTATACCTATGCTGGGACATACCGGGTTGCACAGCTCACTGACAACCATTTCGGTTTGCTCTGCCCTGGTGATTACCTGAGATATTACCTCATCCAATATACAACCACATACAAGCTGCTTTTATATATGTATGGCCTGTCCTTCCTCAGGCTAAAACCTGTCAAACAAGTTGCATTTGGGTCAGGGAGCCACACGCCTATCAACAAAAGTCCCAAGATGAAGCACCAGCACTAGCCTTCCTTCCTTCACAGCTGGGCCTCATCAGGGCATTTGCAAACCCGATAGAAAGAAGGGAATCTGCAGGTCTCTCTGTAGATCCTGGTAGGTGGCTCCAGGCAGTGGCTGACTTTACACCTCTCTGGAGACCCAAGAGCCAGTGTACCCAGGGGTCAGGGTCATACCATAGCAGCTTACAACTCTTCACATCCATAAGCGACACACCCAAGGGGCAGAGTCACTGAGCACCAAAGCCCCACTGAAGCAAGTCCTGCTCCATAAGGGTTTCTCCTGCACAGCAGCTCTCCCACTAGGTTGCAATGGCCCTGATAGATGCTAAAATCCTCAACAAAATTCTGGCAAATCGGATCCAGAATTACACGAGCCAGCACGGCCATGGCATACTCAGCGCCAGGGCGCCTTATGTGTCATGCCGGCTCAGCATGGTTCAGTGACCCTGAGTGGGGGTGGTGAAAGGCTTAGAAAAGACAGACAAGAGAATGAAAGCTGGGTCTAAGTGGGAAGCTGCTCCGGATGGAGAGATAGCGCCAGTGCCCACAAGCTGTGTCTTTATTTTATAGCAGCTGTCATGGGGCAAAGTAAGGGTGTCATCAAGATGTTTACAACATTCTCGTGGGTTTCAATCCTACTCATCTACATGCACCTGAACTATATCACTTAGGCACGTGGGGCCATGTGTTCGGAACATAGGTTCAAGCTTACAACTATAGCTATTGGCTATAATTGTGCCGGGAAAGCTCTGCCCTCCAAGCTGGAACTTGCACGTGGCAATGAGAGGACTGTGCCCTGTCATTAGTCCAAGGCTTGAACCTGTCCAAAACACGGTAGCTGTGCCCCAATTCAAATAGCAAAAAAACCTTAGTGAAAACAAAGCTGATGGCATCACACTTCCTGACTGGAATTTATTACAAAGAGAAAGCAAGCAAACAGTGAGTTGGTGGAGAAACAAAGACACATATATCAACAGAACAGAAAACACAGAAATAAACCCAGGCACATACTTTCAAATAAACTTTGTCAAAGCTGCAAGACACAGAAGAAGGGAAAGATAGTTTCTTCAATGATAGGTGCTGGGAAAAATTAATACTCATATGTAAAACAACAATACTGGACACCACTGATAAAATGTAACTCAACCTGCATGAGAGAATTAAATATCAGTGCTAAAACGTAAAACTCCTCAGGACAACCTAGAGAGTAAGTTTTGGGGGTTTGTTTTGGACAGAATTTTCTGAATGTGACACCAACTGCCAGGCAAAATAGAAAACATAAACAGTCCAGATTGCAACAAATAAAGAAAAACTTCTTCACAGAACAACAGCAATAAACAAAATGAACTGAAAGAAATCTAGAGAACAGAAGAAAATACTTGCAAATCCTATGAAGGAATCGCTTGGAGAGATTGTGCATTCAGTTCTGATCAGCACAATAAAGCGAATATTTCGATATAGACAGAAATTCATACAAATAGGTAGAGTTCCCAGGAAATAATAAAGGTTTGTAATACCATAGTGTAGGCAAATAACAATGCAATGATTCTGTATCAAAAGCAAACTCTAATGAACATCATTAAAAATACTTTATTGCTAAGCACTAGTAACAATCATCTGAGCGTGCTAGAAACATGATGGCACTGGACATGCTGAACCCAGGGTTGCCATAAACATGGATTTGGTAGAAGAGGAGGTGTGAGGGAGCAATATCTGCAAAGCGCAATTAAGCACAGGCAAAAATATGTCTTCCTCTATATCATAAGCAATTATTATATAACATATGCAAGGTAGTCAAAAGAATGTTTAACCAAAATATACAGGTCCCCGGGGGAACATTTATACCATGGAATACTATGCAGCAGTAAAAATGAAGACTCTCTTCCCCTTTTACACAGCATGGAGGGACCTGGAGAACATCCTGCTAAGTAAAATAAGTCAACTGAGAAAGAGAAATAACACTTCACCTCACTCATATATGTAATCTAATTAACAAAAAAACCCAATGCTGAATGGAATAAATTCAGAGTGGAATTCAGAATGCGGAATCTCAGAAGGGAAGGCGGGGGAGGGTATAAAGAAAAGAAAGAAAAAACATCCTTCCCTGTGGAGTATGCACACACACACACACACACACAACAATAAAAATAAAGTCACCTGACACTTGAGCATTTACTTCTGTTCTCGGAAAGCAGTGGGAAAGCTCTACCTTGATGGGTGCTGGGTCTGCTCTAGATTTGTGTTTATAAATCTGTCTTCTGGGGAGAACCAAGATGGCGGCATAGGTTAACGCCGGAGTTTGCTGCTTTGAACAACTACTTCAAAAGTGAAACTAAAAAACGGAACGGACATCACCCAGAACCACAGGAACGCTGGCTGAGTGGAAGTCCTACAACTAGGAGGAAAGAGAAACGCATACGGACACTCAGAGGAGGCGCAGTGCTGAAGTCAAATTCTGAGGTGCGGAGTGCACGGAGCCGGCTGGCGGCGGAGGGCGCGGTTGGCGTTTTCAATCGGGAGGGAGTCGCAGACTCTGAGCTCCAGATCCGGGCGAGTCTTTAGGGACCCTGACTCAAACGGGAGAAGCGGGACTGTCTGGCTTCCGTCAGAGCGAGTGCAGCTTTCTCTCCGAGCTTTGCAGCGGGTGCTGGGACTCAGAGAGGCAGAGCCCCTGGGGACAGGACTGAGAGCTGCCATAACTGCTCTCTCCGGCCCACCCTGTTGATCCTGTGCGACCCGCCCTGCCCAAGCCCTGCACAGAGGCATTTGCCGGATACCCTCAGGCAAAGGCTAGGTTAGCACCTTCCGAGAGGACAGAAGTTCTCTCACTGCTGACACAGCTGATTCTCATAGCCAATTGGCCTGGAGGTCAAACCCTCCCTGGTATTAGCTACAACAAGGTTTAACTATAAGACTGCGAACAAAGACCACTAGGGGGTGCACCAAGGAAGCATAACAAAATGCGGAGACAAAGAAACAGGACAAAATTGTCAATGGAAGATATAGAGTTCAGAACCACACTTTTAAGGTCTCTCAAGAACTGTTTAGAAGCCGCCGATAAACTTAATGAGATCTACAAGAAAACTAATGAGACCCTCGATGTTATATTGGGGAACCAACTAGAAATTAAGCATACACTGGCTGAAATAAAGAATATTATACACACTCCCGACAGCAGACCAGAAGAGCACAAGAATCAAGTCAATGATTTGAAATGCGAGGAAGCAAAAAACACCCAACCGGAAAAGCAAAATGAAAAAAGAATCCAAAAATGCGAGAATAGTGTAAGGAGCCTCCGGGACAGCTTCAAGCGTACCAACATCAGAATTATAGGGGTGCCAGAAGATGAGAGAGAGCAAGATATTGAAAACCTATTTGAAGAAATAATGACAGAAAACTTCCCCCACCTGGTAAAAGAAATGGACTTACAGGTCCAAGAAGCGCGGAGAACCCCAAACAAAGGAATTCAAAGAGGACCACACCAAGACACATCATAATTAAAATGCCAAGAGCAAAAGACAAAGAGAGAATCTTAAAAGCAGCAAGAGAAAGAAACTCAGTTACCTACAAGGGAATACCCATACGACTGTCAGCTGATTTCTCAACAGAAACTTTGCAGGCCAGAAGGGAGTGGCAAGAAATATTCAAAGTGATGAATACCAAGAACCTACAACCAAGATTACTTTATCCAGCAAAGCTATCATTCAGAACTGAAGGTCAAATAAAGAGCTTCACAGATAAGGAAAAGCTAAAGGAGTTCATCACCACCAAACCAGGATTATATGAAATGCTGAAAGGTATCCTTTAAGAAGAGGAAGAGGAAGAAAAAGGTAAAGATACAAATTATGAACAACAAATATGCATCTATCAACAAGTGAATCTAAGAATCAAGTGAATAAATAATCTGATGAACAGAATGAACTGGTGATTATAATAGAATCAGGGACATAGAAAGGGAATGGACTGACTATTCTTGGGGGGGAAAGGGGTGTGGGAGATGGGGGAAGAGACTGGACAAAAATCGTGCACCTATGGATGAGGACAGTGGGTGGGGAGTGAGGGCGGAGGGTGGGGCAGGAACTGGGAGGAGGGGAGTTATGGGGGGAAAAAAAGAGGAACAAATGTAATAATCTGAACAATAAAGATTTAATTAAAATAAAATAAAATAAATAAATAAAAATAAAAATAAATAAATAAATCTGTCTTCTATCAGTTGTGTCCCTGGAAATGCTGATACCCCTCCATGTAACTTCCTCCTACTTCACATGAATCTATTGCTTTTGGTGGTGTTGTAAGAAATGTCCAAACCTGTGGAGAATTTTTCTCAGTTTATTTGACCCAAGCCTGCGACACTGCCGGGAAGCAAGAAGAAAACACATTGAGGTGGGAGAATGGCAGTTTTGCACCTTCTTTATACATTAGACTCTAAGGAGAAGACATAAGGGGGTTATATGAAATTCACTGGTGATAATTTAGGTGGGAGAGTTAAGGAGGGAAATCTCTGGGATTGGATAAAAAGTAAAAAACAATAGACACAAACTTCTTTTTACATGTTATAGAATAGTTAACACTTAATATTTAACACAATAATAATAATAATTGGGGCTCTGTGGTCTGCTGTGTTGGGAGATTGTGCCCTTAAGATTCTGTAAAACGGAAATTTCCCTGAAAATCCAAAGGTATGTTATCCCAGATGCAAAAACACAATAGCCAGGCTTAATAAGGTACAAATCGACCTTTTGGCAAAACAAAACAAAAAACAAGGCTAGGACATAACTACCCCTGTGGCTTACTTTTGCTTAGAAAGTTTTAACTTCAAGCCATCTTATATGGTTACTTTTGGCCTCTGAGTTCCTAAGATTGGCCATGGCATGCCAGGATCCCTGAGCTTACTAGGTTTAGTATGTGCCATCATATTTTGTCCAAACTGGGGAGTCAGAACTTGTTGGTTTAGCCCTAACCAGTTTGGCTCAGTGGATAGAGCAGTGGCCTGCAGACTGAAGGGTCCCAGGTTCAATTCCGGTCAAGGGCATGTACCTTGGTTGTGGGTATATCTCCAATAGGGGAGGTGCAGGAGGCAGCTGATTCATGTTTCTAACTCTATATCCCTTTCCCTTCCTTTCTGTAAGAAATCAATAAAGTAAAAAATAAAATTAAAAAAGAACTTGTCGGTTGAGGAGAAAATTCAGTGAGTGCTTTATTTCCTGGCTAAGGACCCATTGTTCACATACTCCTGGACAGAATACCTCCATATTGCTGGTGTTCCTTTATTTGTACTCCAGATGTAGTTAAGCTTCAGGTCAATAAATCCTTGGGATCTAAATGTTGTGGCGGTATTTGTAAGTAAAAGAAAAAGTTCTTTTCCTTTATGTGATCTTTCACAATTAATGAGAAACACCTGCTAATTCAGTGGTTCTCAACCTTGGCTGCACATTGGAATCACCTGGGAATCTTTTTAAAATGCTGATTTCTGGGGCTCATCATTAGTCACAAAGAAACGGAATTTCTGTAAGATGAGGCCCAGAAATCAGGATTTTAAAAAGATTCCCAGGTGATTCTAATGTACGGACAAGGTTGCGAACCATTGTTTTAGGACAGTGATGGCAAACCTTTTGAGCTGCGCTTGTCAGCATTTTGAAAAATCCTAACTTAACTCTGGTGCCCTGTCAGAAATAGGAATTTTTTGATATTTGCAACCATAGTAAAACAAAGGCTTATATTTTTGATATTTATTTTATATATATACCTACATCATCAACAGAAGAGAACAGAAAACAGAAATAAATCCAGCATATACTTTCAAGTACTCGTTGTCAAAACTGCAAGACAGAGAAGGGAAAGATAGTTTCTTCAATGAATGGTGCTGCTGAAAATCAATACTCACATGGAAACACAACAATACTGGACACCACTGATAAAATTAAACGCAACCTGCATAACAGAATTGAATATCAGCGCTAAAACTTAAAATGCCTCAGGACAACCTAGAGAAAAAGTTTTGGATGTTTGTTTTGACATGATTTTCTAAATGTGACACCAACCACAAGACAAAAAAGAAAGAACACACAGTTCAGATTGCAACCAATAAAGAAAAAAGCTTCTTCACAGCACAACAGCAATACACAAAATGGAATGAAAGGAAATCTAGAGAACAAAAGAAAATACTTGCATATCCTATGAAAGAATCGCTTGGATAGATTGGGGATTCAGTTCTGATCAGCGCAATAAAGCGAATATTGAGATATGGACAGAAATTCACACAAATAGTTGGAGTTCCCAGGGAATAAGAAAGTTATGTTAATACTATACTGGAGGTTAATAACAATGCAATGACTCGTCTGAAAACCAAACTCGATATAACTTCATTAACAATACTTTATTGCTAAGCACTAGTAACAAGCATCTGAGCTTGCTAGAAACATGGTGGCACTAGACCTGCTGAATGCAGGGTTGCCTAAAAACATGGATTTTGTAGAAAAGTGGGTGGGGGAGCAATATCTGCAAAGCACAACTAAGCACATGCAAAAATATGCTCCTGGCCGAAACTGGTTTGGCTCAGTGGATAGAGTGTCGGCCTGCGGACTGAAAGGTCCTGGGTTCGATTCTGGTCAAGGGCATGTACCTAGGTTGCGGGCACATCCCCAGTAAGAGGTGTGCAGGAGGCGGCTGATCGATGTTTCTCTCTCATCGATGTTTCTAACTCTCTATCTCTCTTCCTTCCTCTCTGTAAAAAATCAATAAAATATATTAAAAAAAATAAAAAAGAATGTGCTCCTGGGTGTCATAAACAATGAATATATAATATAAACAAGGTAGTCAAAGAATGTTTAACCGTAAAATACAGTTATTAAGCAGGATAAGGTATAGAAACAATTCTTCAAAAACAATGTACAAGTGACAAACAGGAATATAGAAAATGCTTTCCTCACTGATCAAGGTGGAATCCCTGAGGCTTCCTGCAGCACTACCAACCACAAGTCCTTCCCTGTGAAGTTAGTACAGCGGGAGTATTGGGACTTCAGGAAAGAAGGGAGCAGCAGAAACAGACCAACCCTCCCCAGGACAGCAGCTACCCATAAAACTGGAAAAATTAAACAGTACCACAGTCTACATGGGAGGACAGAGCACACCCTGGGAAATGGGGCCTGGGAAATGGCAAAGCCAAGTCCAGTTCACTGGCGAGAGTGAGGGTCTTACCCAGCGAGGATATAAGTTCAAAGTTCTCCCGCATCACATTCAGGTACAGCTGTCTCTGACGATCATCAAGGAGGCTCCATTCCTCCCTGGAGAAGTACAGGGCAATGTCCGCCAAGGTCACGCCAACCTGTCACAATGGAGACAATTGAAAGCAGAGCTGTCTCTTTGAGAACCTGCCATCCTACTCCTTACACACCTTCCGAACCTTCAACCTCTTCCAGGCCCCTGGTTACTGTGGATACCAGGCCCTAATACCAGTGCAGGCTGTTCTCTCATCACAGTCCATTTACTCACTGCATGGCCCTCAGCAGAGGAGCCTGATTGGGTGAGAAGGATTGGAGAGGGCAGGGGAGCAAGCAATGCCATTTAAGGTCTGGGCGATGTAGTGTAGTCCAGCCGGATCCAGGTCCACCCAAGGCCCCTGATGGATCCCACAAATGGGAAATCCTCGAATGAGTCTGTGCCGTCCTCCCAGCAGCCTCTGATCTTTCCGTCAATACTCACAGCCACATCCTCAGGGACCTTCAGATGCAAGTCACCCCCATCCTCTCTGCCCTGCACTTGCTGTGTCCTCAGAAGCCACAACACTCCTCTCTCCCCTCCACCTTCCTCACGGTCCTCCACGCGGGACTGAGGGGCAGGACGGCACAGGCGCCCTCCCCAGGCTGTGGTGTGTGTGTGAGGAGGCGGTGAGGGCCTGGGGGACTCGAACTCACCTCAGCCCGTCTCCTCAGCGGGGGCGCCGCCATTGCCCTCTGTGGGCTGAGCGGGGCGGGAGTAGAAGCCGCTGCAGGAATGGCGGTCCCTGTCCCGGCCCTGGCGTGGGTCCGGGTGGCGACTCCGAGCTTCAATCCCACGTGTGAGCTGTGAGCACCACTGGAGGCTCCCACCATTGGCTGTGAGGCGGGGAACACCACTCTCCGGCCTTCTCCACGGGACTGTGGACTTGGAAAACCTCACCGCCAGGCACAAAAATCTGAGAAAATGAAATCCCGCCACAAGGATTACCGGTCCCGCCCTAAAGCAGCGGCCAAACAAAAATGCCTTCTCTGACCCTCCATTGGCTCAGCCTGATGCCATTCCAGGCTTGGCCTTCTGGGTAATGCAGTTTCTAAGCACCAAGGCCGGGATCCAGTATCTCTCAGTTAACTCTAGGACTGGATTTAGGGGCAAATAGCCCAAGAACACACCAAGTACAATAAGGTCCTCTAGCGCCTTCAGGGGAGGTGATTTCCAGGACAAGTTTGTTTCTCCTGCACCTGCACGGCTTCCTTTAGCTGCGGGTTTTGCATATATTTGTTCAGGACTTGCTTTTTCTGAATGGCAGGGATTTGTTCTTCATTCAAGACTTTTGGCATGTGTTTCCCTGGGGCCATATGTTTGTGGAGGAGGTTGTTTAAGTCTCTAACTGCCTTAACCTGCCTCCATTGAATCCATTATACAAAGTTAAGGTCACAAAACAGACGCTCATACTTAAGGGCATCTGCTTCTGATGCCATCCAGTGTCAGCTCTGCCTGGGCTGCAGTATGGATAAGATGGTCAAGAAATATATGAAAAGATGCTTAAAGTCACAGATCACCAGAGAGATGGAAATTAAAGCAACAATTATCTGTCACCTCACCACTTTCATATATCTGCCATCAACAGATGAACAAAAGACAAGTGCTGGGGAGGATGTGGAAAAAAGGGAACCCTAGTACACTGCTGGTGCGAATGCAAACTGGTGCAGCCATTATGAAAATCAGTAGACTTTCCTCAAAAAATTTAGTATGGAACTTCCATTTTATCCAGTGATTCCACTTCTAGAAATATATCCAAGAAACCTGAAACAATAAGATAGAATATATACTCCCTTCTGTTGATAGCAGCAGAATTTATAATAGCAAAGATGTGGAAACAGCTGAAGTGTCCATCAATAGATGAGTGGATTCAAATGCTGTGATACAGCCTTAGCCAGTTTGGCTCATTGGAAAGAGCGTCACCCTGCACACTGAATGATCCCAGGTTTAATTCAGGCCAAGGGTACATGCCCAGGTTGCAGGCTTCATTCCCAGTAGGGAGTGCACTAGAGGCAGCCAATCAATGATGCTCTCTCATTATTGATGTTTTTCACTCTGTCCCTCCCTTCCATTTCTTCTCTGAAATACTTTTTTTAAAAAAAATTTGTGGAAAATTTACAACATGGAATACTCTGCAGCAGTAAAAAAGAAGAATGTTTACCTTTACAGACAGCATAGAGGCACCTGGAAAACATCATACCAAGTGAAATCAGTCAGTCAAAGAACAACAAGTATCACTTGATCTGACTCATATATGAAATCTAATTAACAAAATAAAGTGCTGAATGGAGTGGATTCAGGGACATGGAAGCATGGAAGGGAGTACAGAATCTCAGAGGAAAGGAATAGGAGGGGGGAAAAAAGTGACAGAAAAAACAGCCTCAGGTAAGGATTAAACACAGACACACACACACACACACACACACACAACAAATTCACCTGAGCCTTGAGAATTCTCTTCTGTTCTCTTAATGCAATGGGAAAACACTAGCTTGCTGTGTTGTGAGTGTGCTCTAAATTTGTGTTTATTAATCTGTGTTCAATCTGTTGAGTCTCTGGAAATGCTGATAATCTTCCATGTAACTTTCTCCTGCTTCACATGAGTCAATTGTTTTTAGTGATGTTGTAAGAAATGTCCACACTTGTGGAGAATTTTCCTACGTTTATGTGACCCAAGCCGGTAACAGTGCCAGGAAGCAGAATAACAATAAATTGCTTGGGAGAATGGCAGTTTTGCACCTTTTTTATACATGAGACTAAAGAAGAAGACATAAATGGGTTACATGACATTCACTGGTGATAAATTGGGGGCAGGAGCTAAGGAGGAAAATCTCTGGGATTGGATAAAAAGTAAAAAAAAATAAACTCCTTTTTAAGTTTATCTGATAGGTAACAGTTAATATTTAACACAGCAACAATAATAATTGGGGCTCTGTGATCTTCTGTGTTCAGAGATTGTGCTCTTAGGAGTCTGTGAAACAGAAATGTCCCTGAAAATCCAAAGGTCTGTCATCGCTGATGCAAAAAGACAACAGACAGGCTCAATAAGGTAAAATTTGACCCTTGCAAAAAATTAAAAAACCACACACACACACAACAAAACAAACAGACAGAGTAGGACATAAATACCCCTGTGACTAGATTTTACTTGGCAAGTTTTAACTTTAAAGCATCCTATATGGGTACTTTTAGCCTCCGAGTTTGCAAGATTGGCTATGCTATGTCAGGCTCCCTGAGATTACTAGGTTTACTGTGTGCCATCATTTTAGTTCATACTGGGGACTTAGAACCTGTGGGTTGAGGTGAAAATTCAATGAGTGGTTTATAAACTCAGGGACCCATTTCGGATGTCCTCCTAAACACAATGCCCCCAGTATTGATTTTGTGCCTTTATTTGGTCACCTACAAGTAGTCATTCTTCAGGTCAATAAAGTCTTAGGTTCTAAATGTGGTGGAGGTAGTATTAAGGACAAGAAAAAGGTCTTTATTTTCTTGGCTGTGGCCTTCCACAATTTATGGGAAACACCTGCAGTTAAACCCCAAGATTGTTGGTTCCTCTACCTCAACAACTCCTCTGTTCAAACTGAGGAACAAGATCAGTTACTTTCAAGGCTACATTCTTGCTACCCCTCCTCCCTGCTGTTGTCACACCTCAGAGATCATTTGCACCACGGAGTCTCTAGTCAGTAGAAAGTTTACTTCCCTGAACTACTTTAAACAAGCCTCTTTAACTCTTCATAACATTCTCTCTAGTCATATTTTATAGCCTTGGGAAAAATACTGATAGGAAAACTACCCATACATCTGCCAGTCTGTCTCCAGGAATGCAAAGTAATTGTAACTTAAATGGCTCAAGATAAAAGAAATATACATGCCGAAACGGGTTTGGCTCAGTGGATAGAGCATTGGCCTGTGGACTTTAAGGTCCCAGGTTCAATTCCGGTGAAGGGCATGTACCTGGGTTGCGGGCACATCCCCATTGGGAGATGTGCAGGAGGCAGCTGATCAATGTTTCCCTCTCATCCATGTTTCTAACTGTCTATCTCTCCCCCTTCCTCTCTGTAAAAATCAATAAAATATATATTTTTAAAAATATATACATTCATCTATTTTGGAACAAGATGTTTTTCAACTCTATATTCAATCCACATTCTTTTTTCTCACCAATATATTTTTATTGATTTATTACAGAGAGGAAGGGAGAGGGATAGTGTTAGAAACATGGATCAGCTGTCTCCTGCACACTCCATCTAGGGATGTGCCCACAGCCAAGGTACATGCCCTTGACCGGAATGGAACCTGGGACCCTGGAGTCCGCAGAATGACGATCTATACACTGAGCCAAACTGGTTAGCACTCAATCCACATTATTATGCCTTGTGGGCGAGTCTCATCTCAGTTACAGAGAATGTAACAAACAATGAAGAACTTTCACCCAAACCCACTAGAATGCTCACTGGGTCACAAAAGCCACATCTCCAGTGTAAAGACACCCTTTGTTTTCCTCATAGTTTTGCTGCCAGAGCAGCAATGAATCTGATGGGAACATCTAAGAGGACACAGGAAGCCACAAAACCTCTTGATTATAATCAATGACAATGACTGCTCCACAGAAGATAAACAAGCCTGGAGTCCCTCAGATCTGTGTACATATCACTCCTGTAGTCTTTTCCTCAAAAAAAATTTCTGGGTGCAGGTTTAGATGAAGTCCATTCCTTGTAATAGAATTAGTTCAGTATTTCTGCAGTCAAGATCCCCTCACTGAGATGGTCCTCCAACCAGTGCCCATCACCCTGGAATAGAAGGCATTAGGGCACATGGCCCTCTGCAACACCTGGGGAAAAGAATCCCTTCAAATGTCTTAGCATCCCTTGAAAACAAGAAAAAAATTCATGCTGCTCCCAGACATACTTGAGGTTGTCACAGCTACCCGCACCTTTTCAGTGACTTCTGTGTCTCAAAGCATCCATTTTCACAGGAGGACTAAACAATGCACATTGTTTCCTGCAAAATTATGGGCAGCAATGTAAATTTGGCAAAAACTACTGAGCTAATTTTTGCACCGTAGTGTTCCCCCCAGGGCAAACTGTTTGAGATCCCATAAAAATTTTCACCTCATCATGCTTGGAAAGCCCAGATCTTCTAATAAACTAACCCACACAGTAAATAGAACACCCAGCATTAAAGAAGTCCTAGGAAAAAGCCTTCATTATTTTTCAAAGAAAGAGACCTGAGACCGGCAGTTCTCCCCTTGATGACTTAGGCACGCAATAAAAAAACTCAACATTAGCATGTAGGGAAAATGTGTCCCTCAAAATGGCAGATCTTCTACATAATGTTTACTGGCGCCAACAGTAATCAGTCCTATGTGGCGACTCATGGCAGGGATACCAGTAAGAATAAGGGATGAGGTATTCCTATTTTCTTCAACAAATTAGACAACACAGTTAGCTTCCCTGGGCCCATGAGGATGGTGATTGATGCCATCTGTAGCGACCTTATGCACCATATTGTTCCCTGAAAAGCAAAGAATGTTTGAAACCCCATAAAAGGTTTTCACCTCATCATGCTTAGAGAGCCCCAATCTCCTTATAAGCTAACCCACAGAATAAATAGAATACCCAAGATTCAAGAAGCCTTAGGAAAAAGCCATCATTATTTTACAAAGGAAAGAGACACGAGACTGGCAATTCTTGCATTGATGACTTATACACTCAATAAATTCATGACTGGCATCTAGGAAAAGTGTGACCTTGAGAATGGCAGTCCCTCTGCAATACTGTTTTCTGGTGGCAACACTAATCAGTCCTATGTGCCAACTGGTGAGAGGGAAAATAATTAAGAACCAAGGGCTCAGGTATTCCTAATTTTCTTCGACAA